AAGACTGACAAGGCTATATTGCAAGACCCTGTATCAAAAACCCTAAGGTGATGGCTCAAAAGAACATTGGCTGCTCTTCCAGGAAACATGGATTTAAGTCACAGTATCTACATGGCAGCTCACAACCAACTAACTCTACTTCCAGGGGATTCAGCACCTTCTTCTAGCTTCTTTGGGAACTGCATGCATGTGATGCAAACATATATGCGGACAAAAGATCCAAACATATAAGATAAATCATTAAAAGGGGGGATAGGAAGGGAGATGGGGAAAAGGAGGAGGAAGAGACAGAAAAAGAAAAATCAAGAAGTGTCAATCAAACTCAGAAGCATGCAGTTGAATGGTGGTTCCATGAATTGGGGGTGGAGATATGAGTGAGGAATGGAGACATTGGTCAAAGGGTACAAAGTTTGTTAGGTTGGAACATAAACTTCTGAATAGCTAATGAAAAGCTAATGAATTGACTGTGGTCAATAATACTCTAGCATTATTGAAATTTTCTTGAAGTTTGTTATGACAGTAGATCTTAAATGTTCTTATTTCAAAATGAGAAAGAAAATGGCAATATAGAAGGTGATGTGATGAATACTGCAATTATATTTGATGATCATCTCATAACATATATAGATAAAAACATCAAGCTGCATGCCTTTAAATACATGCAACTTCTTTTGTCAATTACACTATCATAGATCTGGAGAAAGAAGGACTTTGCCTTTTGATGCCAACAGAGGCCTTTGGGGGGGGGCAGGGGGGGAAGCCAACTGATCTTTTCGTTTTGTAAGCAGACAATGGGCTAAATAAAATAAGTCACTAGAATTTTGCCCTTAGCACCCAGGTCTCACCTGCCAGGGAAGGTTTGTTTACCTGCCAAGAAGGTTAAGGGGTTCTTCAGATGGGAAAACACAAAATTTAAAATAGAAAGAACATCTAAGTTATTTTTAAAAGTTTTTTTATTATTTTTGATATGTGAATGTATGTATCTCTGTGTACATACATACAGTATGTGAATGCTTCTGGCCAGAGGCTTTGGGTCCCCTGGAGCTGAAGTTACATGGTTGTGAGTCCCCTGAGATCGGTGCTGGAAAGCACACTCAAAGGCCTCTGTTGGCATCAAAAGGCAAAGTCCTTCTTTCTCCAGATCTATGATAGTGTAATTGACAAAAGAAGTTGCATGTATTTAAAGGCATGCAGCTTGATGTTTTTATCTATATATGTTATGAGATGATCATCAAATATAATGTGTGCTCTAATCCCAGACACATTTGCAAATGTCAGTCACTTGCAAACCACTCCCTATTCATCTACCATCTGGGCAGCTGAAAGCTGACCTGAACACTCCTTAGAGCCACAGGCAAGAAGCTTCCCAGCGCAGGCAAGCACAGCAGAGCTGCGCTGTCCCAGCCCTATTTGTTCTGGGCTGTCATCCTTCTCAGACAGAAACTGGTCCTTAGGATGAGACTCCAGTGGCAGCTGATGGAGGCTTCAGGGTGGGACTTAACGCTGTCACGGTAAGAGCATCAGCATGATGATATTTAGTGGCTCCCTTTCAGGAAAAGGATGACAGGAAGAGGTCACCAGGGGGCATTTACGGATGGTGTTAGACTGTGTTCCGGGATTTGAGTGCCGGCAACACCAGTGTGTCAGTTTGTGCAAGTTTACCAGCTGAGCATTGATGGTTTGTAAAAGTAAAACCTGTGGTCATTGATGATAGAAATGCTACGCTCATCACTCTCATTCCAGTGCCCAGGACAAGAGGCCACTCTCTCAGTAAATAGCTATGGATAATCTATTAATGAATGAATGAACAAACTAATCTCTTTATGGAAAACCTCTGTGAAATTCCACTAAGTAGTACCTAAGTAGGTTCATGATATAGTACATACAGATTCCATTCTATCCTTCACATGAGGAAAAGAATACTAATAAAAGTGATCAATGAAGAGATCCCTAAGAAAACTGTCTACTGCCTGGGTCTGTACATTCCCACACACTTCTGACACACACTTCTGACACACACTTCTGAAGCACTCACACCTGGCCATCATCACCACGTGTGCCGCACATGAAACAGTATTTCCAAAGACGGCTTCCTTTCTATTTATCGTCAATGCTGCAACAACAACACTGAGGTGTAAGGGTGTTTGCGCTCCATCCGTCCGTGGCCGTATCACTACCCTGCTATACAAGACCAGGTGAGTTCTCTGAGACCTGTTGCACTCCTTTTGAAATTCAAGCTGTCACGCACAGTTTTAACATCTATTATAGCACCATGCCCCCAAGAATATGAAATACTTAGGAATTTTCCTGAGTCTGGGTTGTGAAAGAAAAATTAACCCGCTTTTGAACTGACTGGTCATTGCAATAACTCTAACAGCTATGACAGGGATGGGCGATATTACTTTCTTTTGAAGTCTTCTTTTCTACTAGCAATGTGGAGGGGCTTGGTAAAAGCACCACACATTGTCACATATTTAGGACACTGGAGGCCACCTTAAGTTTCTGTGCTAAGACTTTTCACTCAGTATAGAATTTGAGGAATAGCTCTTCCGTAGTCCAATCATCTACAAAGGGCATTTAGGATTGGGGCTTTTAGTTGGATATAAATGTTTGGCTTAGGACCGGGGAGGTGGCTAAGCAAGTACAAGCTCTTTCGATGCAAGCCAGTGAGGTGATCCCTAGAACTCACGTAGAAATTCTAACGCAGTGCCCAGGACGTCTGCAGTGAGCGGGGAGGGCAAGAATTGGTCAGCACTCAACAGAGCTGCAGAAATGAGAGACCCTGCCGCCAAACACTGTGGGGAGGAAAGACCTCTTCTGAAAACTGTCCTCTGAGTGGTGCATGTGGGCCATAGCGTAAACACATACACACACACACACACACACACACACTTAAAAATCAATAGGAATGAAAAAGAGCACATAAAGGAATTACAGGAGTAAAGGTTATCCCATAATACTGTCTTCTGAATTATAGTATTGCTTGTTACCAAAAAGTCTGAAGACGTCAGAATTAAATGGCTTGGTAACGCATAGCATTCTTGGTGTTGAATACTAGGACTTCACACTTCCTCTAAATTGATGAGAGGCCCCAGAAAACCACACTTTCAAAGTCGTGGAGGGGTAAACACCAAGACAAAAATCCAATCCCACACCACCACTGTCTGCCTATGTGATCTTGCGAAAGTTACTTAACCCACCTAAGCCACTGTCTCCTAGTCTCCTGTTTTAAAACATGGTGGTTAGGGGGATTGAGACAGCTTGTGGTCTGTGCATAGTTCCAGCACTCCTGAAGCTCTCCCAAAACACTGGCTGCCATAATCATTAATTCAGAAAGAATTCCCTTGTCTAAATTGTTTCAGCACCTCTAAAGGTGTCACAGCGGAGAATGGCCAGCATAAGACAAGTTTCGGAAGAATCCAATTAATCAGGTTTGTATTCAGTGGCCACTGTGTTCCTTCTCAGAACAACCCCAGGGGGAGCTCCTGGTGCGTGCGGAAACAAGGCTTCCTGCCCCATAACACTCTGCTCCACGGCTTCCTGCTAGAGCCTCGTAAAGGAAGGTCCCTGCTCTTCAGATCACACTTCTGACTATTAACCATCCAAGATCAGGGAAGAAAAAAATTGCATTTCCCTCTCAGAATATCTTCCCTACTGGTGTAGCCTGGGGCTGGAGTTGTGGGTGCAGGTGTGTGTGTGTGGCAGGGAGGCAAGGAGTGAGATAGGAGAGGGACTCTTGCTCATGGTGACCTCCGTTCTGTGCTGGCTGGAGCCCAGGGACTGTCAGCCAGCTCCAAATTATGAAGAGGTAGCCCGGAGCAAAAAGGAAAAAAATAACTTGCCCACCAGCCCTATAGAAGACCCAGAGAATTCTTCTGCTGCACCTGCTAACCAGAGAACACTTCTCGGAGAATGACTCAGTGGCTCTGCCTACTGCGACATCCCGTGTCCCTCCTCCCGCCCCCTACCCCCTCGTGCTGTGGCAGATGCGGGCCGAGAGTGTCCTGGCCCGCACACCGCGGGAACCACCGTGCGGCGGCGCCCACCCGCGCTGCCTGGAGGACCCGGGGCGGTGCCGGGCAGATGGCGCTCTCAGCTAGATGATGCTCCAGCGCCTGCAGTCACTCCGTGCTCAGCACAGCATCCTGAGACGAAGCTGTTGTCAGATCCCAGCACTGTGAGTCCGGGCAGGAAAGAGGCTCTTTCCAGTCCGTCTCAAACAAGGCAGGCCAGCCCTGATAAGCCCCTGTCCTCAGAGGCTGGGTGTGGTGCGGGGGACCGCCAGGGCCCTCACCTAGAGGCCAACAAAGCCTCCTGCAAGTGTCCCCAGCGCGCGGTCTCCAATGTCTATCCTATTCTCCTCTCATTCCTCTCGAGGGCTGAGAGAGTCGAGGAGGGCAGTCAGTGTCGCCCCCTGAGCACGGCGATTCGCGCAGGTGTGAGCACATCTGAACAAAGCCCACGCCCAGATGTGTCCGCGGGGACACGAACGCGCGCACGCTGCTGCGCGCCCCGCGGGACTCAGGCGCTCCTCGCTCGGAGACCCTGTCTTGTGACACTCCGGGTCCTCCTTGTCCCAGCCCGGAAAGCTGTGTGCTGCCCATCTGTCCACGGGCAGACCTCTAGGAGAGGCTTCCGCGAAGCCGTGGGGCACCCGTGCCCAGCCAGAAGTTGACCTGGGACCTAAGGAGTTGTGGGCGCCCGCCGGCGACACCGGAGCTGACGGCTCCGAGCCGCGTAGTCCCCCGGGCGCGCGTCTCCTTTCTCCAGCGGGCGCCCGCGGCTGTGTCAAGGGCTGGCAAGGGAAAACGAAGTCGCCGACCCGTTTCGCCCGTGCTGCAGACGCTGCCAGACTCCCACAAGAGCCGGGGCTGATCCCAGGGGCCAGCGTCCGAGTGACAACGCGGCAGCCTCCGGCTCCTCGCTCCGCTCCAGCCGCGTCCACCCACCAGAACTGAGTGTCACCAGTGCCACCGCCAGACACACCCAGGGCTACTCACGTTTTCGCGCCGCGCCCACCGTCCCGCCGGGGCGTTACTGCCCAAGACCCCGAAATGCAGCTGTCGTGCGTGTTTCAGAAGCTGTCGCCTCCAGCTGCCTCAGTCCGGCTGTCCCTGCGCGGGTCCTCGCTCTGGCGCGTCTGAGGCTCGGACTGCTGCGCGCGTCCGCCGGCGACCCAGGCGAAGCGCGCGTCCCCGCCGCTCCCGCCCTCCGTTCCCCTTTCCCAGCGTCGCGCTCAGGCCCCTCCCGACTCCCGTAGCGTCCCCGCGTCCCCCTCCCCCGCACTCTCCGGGCGTCTCCCGCCCCTTCCCCTCCGGGCCAACCCCCTCCCTCCCGGAGCAGCGGCTACAGCGAATGGGCTCCAGCGTCGTGCGCCCTGGGGACTGGGTGGCCCCTCACCTGAGCGGCCGAGCCACTGCGGACCTCCGCCACCGCGCAGAGAGTGAGGTGGTGCCTGTGGGGGTGCCAGGAACGCAGGGCGTGAGTGCTCAGTGGGACCGGTGACTGGGATGTTTGTACAAATGTTCCAGAAAATGAGCGTTTTAAATGTCACTCTCTTCAGTTTAGATTTCTATGATGGATGGATCTGGATCACGCATCCCTTCCCTCCCTCCTTCTATCACCCCCAATTCCCTGCTCTCCCTTCTCCTAAGCATTTCATGCCTTTGAAACACTAATTGGGATGGGGTGAGTACTGTTTTACTACCATCCTTTCCAAACACACTTGAGGAAGGGTCCCTGTAGCGATTAAACAGATGCTATTTGCGGTAGGAATTGGGTTTCTAGGGTAGTTGAAATTAGCTTTTCAAACTGCAGAATATTATATACTTTTTTTTTCAATGCGAAACAAGAACTTTTTTTCCTTAGATGTGTAGAATTTGCATAAGCACATTGCATACTACACAATTCACTCTCTGCAGTCTCTTGCAGCACCGTCTGGCGTGATGATGCCCAAGACACATAGTCAGACACTTAACTGGGCCTGCTCCCTTCTGCAGACTCAGTTACAGGCACCCGGTATGGCCCCGGTTGACCATTTACTACTTACCGGAGCCTGTCATCAGCCTCCAGAATCTAGAACAGGCATTAGAATGGGATTCATGAATAAAAACGGGTCCCGATTATGGGTCCCTACAGCTCCTCTGCCCTTCTGGAACTTTAATTTGAACTTAAGCATCAACCCGCATGCAGTCAAGTGTACAGTGCTCTCGTCTTTCTCCTATGGCAGACCACACAGAAACCCCTTCATATCCTCAAACAATAGAATGACCTCTCACTACGCTGTCATTGTCCACACAATTTTCTCAGTTCTGTCACTCTTCTGAACTTCGGATCTTACTCTGCCTCAGTTCGTCAGTGTGCTTCATACCTCTGTATTCACTCTCTACGTCTTTTTCTAGAATATTTTCCAAGAAGAGATCAAGAAAGGGAAGGAGGGAGGGAGGGAGAGAGGGAGGGAGAGAGGGAGGGAGGGAGAGAGGGAGAGAGGGAGGGAGAGAGGGAGGGAAACAGAAACAAATGATGACTTGGAACCAAAAAAGATACAGGCTAACTTTGTTTTGATTTGTTTCCTAAAAATAAACCAAAGATCTCTGGTATACCTAACAATCTACTCACAACTTACTTTTTCATCTACTGGTGAAGGGCATTTTCTAAAACTTCTATACGTGAGAATCTTTCTGTCTAGAACATTCTTCCATCTCTTTTTTCATGTGGCAAGCTCTAGTTCAGCCTTCAGAGCCCTGACTCATTTGTTACCTCTTTGTGAATTCCTTCCTGGGTCCCTGTGTGTCGCATTGTTATAGGGCTTGGTTGTATGTTAATAGTCTGTTTGCATATCTGGCTCCAAACTAATTCCAGTGGTTCAAGAACAATTTATCTTTATTTTTGTTTAATTTAATTTTCCATCAACAGATATGAAGCTGCAAATTAGCCACACTAACTGACACCATTCTTCGTCAGACCCACCTATGTGATGATATCTCAGTTCCCTACCCTACACATGACTGCTGAGAGCCACGGGGTATCCCCGCCTGTCTTTCTCACGCCGGGCTCCGTGCTCCCGTGATGTCGCTTCACTTCAGCTACTGAGATTGGGCCTCAGCAACTCCCTGACCACATTCGTTGAATCCTGTACTTCAAATCTGTGAGGTAAAAACTTCATGGTCACCCCTCTTCAGCTCTTGGTCGGTCTCCACACAGCAGTCTGCCCACTGGGCACTGAAGCAACATGTTTTGATCCTTCCTAATGTCACAATCTCATAAAGATTCGTCTTGAACAACTCCTTCACCTTCTACGTAGAATTGCTCCCTTTTTAGGCCTCAGTGCTGGTCTATGAAGCCAACATATGACAGACAGAATGAGGTTCTAGTGCAGCCCAAGCCAGTCTTGATTCCTCTGAGACCACTTAGGATAAGAGCTACTCAAGTGTCATAATTGAATCTCAGACGAGTGACAGATTCTTTGGGCATAGTTCTCCTTATCTATTTGTAGAACATTAACACACAAGGATGCTGTGTGGTTCAGTTTAAGCACTGGAGCGTGTATGGGACTGTTGCAAAAACATAGTCCTCAGAGATCTATAGCAGCTATCCTCATTCCGTCGGCCATGTCTGCTTGCAAGAGACCAGCAGGCTTGCCCATGGTGGCTGTTAACATTCCCTCATAAGAGGAGGGTGTGTGGGGGGGGCGGTATTAGACCCTCACTGATCATCCATCTGTCCTATGCATTTGTATGCAATTCTGTCCTAATTGCATGTGGCCTCAGGAGGTGCTAGGGACACTAATTGAATGGGGAGTTCCAGCTTTGTGTCTATGAGGAAGTCACTACCCAGGCAGGCTGAAGACTTTTCACTGTGGTTGCTCCGGGGTCACCCATGCTCCTGTAAGCCATCCTTTACCTATGTTCTGTCAGTAAGACCAACAAACACGTGGACTCCCCAGGGTGACCTTTCGTGGGGGTTGAACTTTTGTTTTTTCGTTGGGGTCTTTTGAAGAATGGGAAGACATCTTTAATGTCTCTCTAGAGAAGAAACTCTCACAATAAGGACTTCCTAAATGCTCTGGAAATGCTAGTTTCAACACCAATATTTGCTATTTGTCAAATAAATACATGTTTCAATTAAAAGTCAGTCAAGAAAAATCGGGAGCCGCACTGACAGCCTGAAGTTAAAATTAAATGATTTTTATATTATATTATATAAAGTTATACTCACATGAAATTATGTAGTTTTAATTTCACGTTGCTTGTTTCAATGACATTGTATCCCTACATTGCTAGGGATTATTCTCCTGGAGGATGAATAAACTACAGGATGAATCAGACAGATGGAGCCTAAGAAAGGCTTGAAAAAGGATTAGGAAACCAGCTGAGTGGGCAAATGGAGTTCCGAAAGCAGTCTCTGTGACTTGCTGGGTGGCACTCCACACATGGCAACGTGACTGCCTATTGCTAGGGATGCACACAATCACCCAGGTATCCTTCCTCTCTCTAAGCCTGTCCTCTGGCCCATCCGTTATCCTCCACCTTCTAGCAAAGAGGACCGGGAAGAAGGTGAGTCTCTTGCCCTCATCACTCAGTAACAATAGGACTTTGCAGGAGCTCACTGCTCTTATGAGCACTTTGCACTTATTAAAGCATTTCATCTCATGGAAAGTCCATACAGTGTGTGTTAGTATCGTCCTCGTTAGAAAATGAGGCAAGTGGGGTGTAGTGTCTTTTGAAAGGTGACACAGCCAACAGAAGAGACGGGATTCAATCTTGACCACTGTGCCATGCTGCCCGTCAGTACAGCCCACAAGTGTGTTTCTTTCCCTGGAGAAGCAGAGTCTGTCACTGCGTTAAAGCACCTCCACAGAGAGCCGTGGAGCCCTCCAGTGGCACCTGGAGTGAACAAGCTGTAGGCTCGCCTTTCCTTTCTCAGTTCTGTCTTCCTAGACTGCTTCCCCTCCCCTTTTCCTTGTTGCTTCCTTCTGTTCTTTATCCAAGTTTGCATAATTCATACCCACACTGCAGACCCCCCGGGGAGGCTCTGTCCTGCAATTTGGCCTCAAGTTTTCTGAAATCAAGCATGTGCCCACCAGCAAGTCACTTCCCATCTCCCCTTCCTCCAGCCCTGCGAGGCAAACATTTTAGACCAGGTGAACAGAGAAATTTGATTTAGCTGTGTTCCTTTGTGGTAACCCAGAATATTTCCTTCACCACCACCCACAACCTAACAAAACTCAAACCGTTGGTGAGTTCCAGGTCAGAAAAATCAGAGCGCTTTAAAAAGTTATGTTAACATCACTAAGTCACGTGCCACAAGAATGGCGTTTGTGTCGCCGTTATCTTCAAATTCTGACAGAGATACGCTGACAATGGTGATGTTAAAAGCCCATCTATTTGAAAGGGCTTTATAGTCCAAGAGTGTTAAAATTATAGTTGTTCTGACAGGCAGCTCAGCTGATAAGGTGATTTGTATCGACTGCCCGCTGTATTCACACCTGGGTGCTGTCTCTCCCTGACCCTGAGAGCTACGTCAATCACTGTAACAAATACCAAGAACTACACAAAACTACACTGATGACTATAATGAGTGTCTAAGATAATCGACTTACACAGTGTTTATGTGGCTCACAGTTTCAGAGACTAGAGCCGCAGCCAGTTGGTCCCATTGCTCTTGGTGTGGTAGCACCATGGCAGGAGAGTGTGTGGTGGCAAGCCTGCTCACCGTAAGCCAGGAAGCAAAACAGAGAGCTCCTTCTAGGACACACACCTAATGACCTGAAGCCCTCCTACTAGGCTCCACTTGGAAAGGTTCCACCACGCTGAGCTCTGAGTTTCAACACCGGCATTTGGGAGCAGCTCAGGTCCAAGCAGGAAGTGCAGCTTCAGCCTAGTCCCGGTGAGGTGCTTCTAAGGGACAGGATTTGCCAGAGATGTCCTGATCTTAGGTTACAAAACTGTCCTGATTCCTTATTCTTTTGCTCTCTTGAGCTAAGAGACACCAGTTATCACATAAGAGATGCCCTATGAAGACAGATGTCCTTTCTAAGGGAAGCCTCTGGCCAACAAACTGAAGAACTGAGGTCGTTGGTCCAAACGCCAGACTGCAGCTTAATTCTCTTTCAGTCAATCCACTGAGTCCGTGGATTCAGTTGACCCAGTCAAGCCTTGAGATGGCTCTAGTCCAGGCCTGCTCCTTGGTTGTGGCCTCCTAGGAGGTCCTGAGCCAGGGGATTCAGTGAAGCAAGGCTTGGTTCTGGCTCAACAGACAGCAGCTGAGAAGAAAGGTTGCTAATGGCAAGCCGCTCAGTCAACATAGGCAGATGTCTCAGGGCATTCCGGTGTTGCTGGTTTTGCAAAATGATCAACTGCCATGGTCACAAGGTAAAAAATGGCACCAGATAAAAAAGCAGTTGTGGGACAGAGGAAATCCCTGTGTGACTTGCCTCAGCAGTGCCCACCTCCACACCCAGTCACACTTAGCTCCCACAGACAAGACAGGCCACCCTTGGCGCCCCACCTAGAGCCGCACCTTTCTCCTTTGGCTGCCTGCCATGGTCTCAGCTGACCCAGCTCTTAGTGATTCCTAGTGGGCGGTGTTTACTCACTGTAGATAATAGTGGCATGCACACTTGCATGTTCATACCATGTAATAGTCAGAGGTGCTGTTCCACAACACATGACCAGGAGCAGTGGAAAGTTTCCACAGATGCACAAGACCAGTTGCTTCCTCATGCTTCTCCTTGCCATCTGCTCCCCAACCACAGACCTCTGTGTGCTAGCCTGATGCCATGTGGGCACACGTCAGATGAAGCCAGAAATTTGAAACCCATCTCCTGCCTGCTGCTTAGCAACACAGTTCCTTGACACCTATCTAAAGGAAATGCTATGCAAGCAAGTGGAAGAAAGCGTGTCCCATAGTGGCTGCCATGCGGGAATTTCTTCTCTGCGAGCCTGTGAGTCACCAATATTTTCATTTTGGCTCAATATCTCCCTACCCCCAAGGACCAGGGAACCGAGTTGGAAAGAAGGACATTTTCAACAGTAATAAGCAGGCTGTTTGACCAAAGCCTCCATCTGTTCCCAATGTTTCTATCTACAGGAATGTACGGCAGTTCAGCTGAATAGATTTAAGACTAGTTAAGGTCAATGTGCGAGGAGCCATTGCAGATAGGGTCATCGAGAACAAGAAACTGCCTCTCAGGGAAAATAGACATACCAAAGGTCGCTCAATGTGCAGCTTCCATTGCTGGCTTCAGGGGCACAGATGACAGGTACCATGAAGGTGAATTCACCCTGGAGGAAAGAGAGTTCCTGTGCACAACACTGAGGTCTAAATGAGTGGTTGATTCGGGAACTGATGTCTAACCATTGACGGTTTTGCTTCATTTTAAGAAGAAAAGGGGTCTTAGGTTAGTAGACACCGACATAATTCTTGCTTGTACTTTCTCTTCAGCTTTGATTTAAGCTTTCACTCAATCTGCTTTAATACACAACATAAAGCGCAGCATCTTAGCCATTTCCAGTGTACAGCTCGGCAGTATCAGGTCGCGTGATCATCACCGCCATCTGTCTCCAGAACTGTTTCGTCTTACAACGCTGCAGCATTATGTCCACTCAACATCTTCCCCAGGATCCTCTCCCTCCAGGCTCTGGTAATCACTACCGCCCTTGCTGGGTCTATGAATCTTGCCACTATAAATATTTCATATAAATGAAACAATACAGTGTTTTTTATGACTACCCCAATGTACTAAAGATTTATACAGAGTGTAGCCTGTGTCAGACTTTCCTTCCTTAAGGCAGAATACTCGACTGTATGCACGAATCACTCTTTGTTTACTTGCTCATCTGTTGATAGACACTTGGTTGTGTCTACCTCTTGGCATTCATAATCCTATAAACACGGGTATATGAATATCTTTGAGATTCTCTTTTAAATTCTTTTAGTTGCATACAGAGTGACATTTGATAGTCATAAAATATTTAAAATTTCTGAGTAATTGTTGTCCTGTTTTCCACAGTGGATGCAAAGCTTTACGTTTCTCCCAGCTGTGCCCAAGGATGACATGTTCTCCATATCCTTACCAACATGTCTTTACATTTTTTGGCAGTTTTATACACATATATGAGGTGTGGGGTTTGGTTGTCAGTTTAATACACCTATAGGGCACATTTATGATCAGATGTACACATTACTTGCTCTTGTCTCTCCCATCTCTTGCTTAACCCCTTCTTTACGACTAGTCGCCCTCTGCTTCCATGTCCTTTTGGTGACCGGCTGTGTGTTTAATTAGGATTGCACTGGTGTGGGGGTTGTTTATTGGAGTTTAGACAATCACTGAGAAAAATGACTCTCCTTAAACAAGGGTGTGGTTGCACAAGCCCCTTTCCCACCTATTAGGGATGGAATGTTGATGGGTAAATCCTGTGCCAGTCTTGGGCAGGTGAGTCTCTGTACTAATCACTGCCCACTGCAAAAAGCAGCACTATTCTATGAATATAAGCATAAGTACTTAGAAAAATTTTAAGTGCATGTCCATTTATCAAAATAACTGTAGTAAACTCCTCATGACGGCCTATGACCAGGAGGTCTTTGAACATCCATGGGGCTTTGAACAGATTTATTGTACCAGGCATGAAGTCCTTCTCAGGAACAGGACTCAGCTCTAATCAGAAAGCAGTTGGTTGTCCCCATAACAATCATGCTACTCTTGCACATGTGGGTGTTTATTGCCTGGGAGGTCCACAGCTGGGTATGACCTTTGGTGACTTTTCTCCTCCAGTAGTTTGCATAACCCTTCTGATATTATGGATGTTAGCCAACTAGGATGTTTCCAGTTCAGTTCCAGTGAGATTTGTGTACTGCAGCCAAACCATGAGGTATCTTTATCAATAATGTCTTAAGACCTAGTTCTAATGGGCAAACAAGCGAAATGGCAATGCCTTGTATTGTTTTGAGGCTCTCTGGGACTATATGGCCATACTTCATATGGAAGTATCTTATACATACTTCTGGGGATTTTTTTTTGTTGTTGTTGTTTAGTAACTATGGCTTCTGGAAGCAGCATTATCTGATCCTAGAGAGTACCTCCATTTAAAGTTGTTTATTTATTCATTCATTTGTACATTATATTTTTAGAGCATAGCCATCCTAATGGGTGTACTATCCTCCAGTATTTTATAGCCATCCTAATGGGTACACCATCTTCCAGTATTTTAGAGTGTATACTATCCAGAGAATCAAGCAAGTACTGTGCTTTTGAAGGCCCTGTGCCCCTTTGGGGCTTATTCTGTGGACTTCTTTCTAGACCACTCTTGAGTCCTAGGATTGAAGAATTCCACAGGGATCTTCAAAACTCTATTTGCTTGCTCCCCACAATGACAGTTCTGTTTATGTACACACCTGGAGCCTTGTGCAGGAGTGTGGCAATGTCTGCAAAGGTAGGGACTGAACCTGGGCTTAAAATTTCAGGTATTTAATTCATGTACTTGAGGACCCTGAAGGTTCAGGCACCAAGTCAGGGCTGGGGTGATGGGCTAATTCTACCTTTCCAGACACAAGCACATTCTGTCACAAGCCTCCAAAGTGTCTATGAATTCTAAGCTTAAACCTTGACTTTGAGTCCAAGTCTCCAGTTTTGAATTTCTGGACATATGGGTGTCCAATTGTCTTCTTTCTTCAAGGTCTGATTTATAAGAGAAGTGACTCTCTTTCCAAATGTTACAGGTACCCTGAGATGGCAAGACTCACTAGACAGATACTAAGGTTGCTTGTGGGTATAAGTAATTTTAGTTTAGTAATGATTTAAACATAGACATATTCCTTATTTTTTTCCTCATGGGTAGGCAACAGAATGGGTGGCAAAATTAATTGAAACAATAAATTTTTTAAAAACAATTAATGCTATCTTGATTTTTGGCTAAGAATGCTGAAATTTTTTACCCTAGTAGCCAAACATCTCAAAAATTTCCAGTTTTGATATTAGTTTAATTGGCAATATCTTAAATAGCATCACAGTATATATAAAACATTATTTGAACTAATAAAAATTAGTTTTAGTGAATATCGAGTTAGACATGTGAGACTATATTTTTATTATTTTACTTTACAAAATATTTTTAATGTTTTGTAAAAATATTTTATTAATACACAAAGCAGAAAATATTTGATACTGAAGATCCAGTATCTTTTTAATTATCAAATTTTACATATCACTGGGTAGTTAGCTGTTAAGCTAATTAAACAATTTTGTATAAAACTTAATAGTTTCTGTATTTGGAATCGTAATACAGAAAAGGGTTCAACATTTGTTGAATAGTGGTCCTGAGGAAGGTCAGGGTGGTTAATCAACTTGCTTCTTATAGTAAGAAGCGCCAATTTCTTTGGTGCATTAAGAAACAACAAGTTTATCATCTATTGTGTATCAGATTCTATGTAGAAGACACAGAAGTAAGAGGCAAGAGAGCTGCCTTTACCCACTGGGCCATCTCATTGGTCCAGTATTTTATTTTTAACGAACTAATTAACCCAACTAGTAATGCCTATTGTGAGGTGTGATGAATTTGAAACTATTCAGTTGAATAAAGGTTATAATGAACAAAGCAATCAATGTGGCTTCTCAGAGATACAGTTATCCAACTGGTGGGCCAACACATGCAATAGTCTAGTCCAGGGGCATCTGTAGTCTGTGTCTACTTTTTGGATGGCAGATACCTCCGCCAGGAACAGAACAAACTGTTTTTTAATGTGCTTCCTATTTTCTAGTCATGAAAGAGTAACTGCCATAGATTTGCCTCAAAAAGTCAAATTAAGTGAACAGTTCTGTTGTATTTAAACTTGGCAAGAAACAACAACAAAAAAGAACACAGTGCAATGAATGTGAAAAGAATTTGTTGGAATGGAACCAAAGTAGAATTTTCCAAATGGTTTATGCATCCTAACTACACAGAAGACATCTTCAATTTCCTGTCAAAGAAATTCACTGTGGGCATTTGTGGCCATTTTGTAGACAGACAGCTCCTTCTGAATGGCTGCAATGTCGGCATACTAGGTAAGAAAGGTCGGGCATCATCTCCTCCAGCCCCTCTCCATACATCTGTGAGTCCTTTCAGAGGTGCCAGCACAAGGAGAGTGCCACTGTATGGCTAAGGACACGAGATATGTCCACAAACCTGAATACTGAGATAATGTGCTCTTGCAAAGAGGTAACATGTCCACAAGTACATGTTCTCTCCAACTGAACCCAACATCACAGATTCAGCTTACTGAATGTACAGGAGAGTACATTCTAGTTAAGATGACAGTGTTTTTCTGAGTGTGCAGTGGTCTTAGTTCTACCATTCTGAGTCCTAGTTCCTTGCTTTTGGACACAAAGAACACTGTTTTCATTACAGAATGAAACGTTATCTCAAGGAATCACTCAGTACTTTGGATAATCAGCCTTGAGCACCTGAGGGGATAAGAACAAACACTTTCACACCACACAAATGGCTATACTTTGTCAGGATGAAAGAGCATAGGCTGAAGAAAGAAACTGGGCACTGAGTATCCCTGGCAATGACTAACAAAGCACAGACAAGGAAAAGTGGACTTACGCTGCAAAGCATGAGCAGCACCAGAAAGTAGAAGAGAACCTCACAATGTACACCTATGTGGTCGCTTGGTGGCTTGTGCTTGAAATCTATTATAAAGGATCACCATCATATGCAGATTTCCAGTAATTTCTGTATTTCTTACGGTAGTCAGTCTAGCTATGTAAAAGTTTATATTTATAGTCTAAAGAGGATTATTTTAATTATATTCTAAAATCACTGGAAGCTTATTTATTTGTACCTAAAATATGCATGAGAAGTCACAAGATTTGACCACTGCCTTTTCTTCTTTTACAAATGGAAGATCTGAGTCTCCCAAACTGCCCACTGTCCTCAGGGTCATGCCCAGAAGCTGCTATAGAGCAGACAGAAGCAGACTGATAACCACAGCCTCCACCACTCCACAGTGCTCACCCATCTCAGTACAAACACCATGACAACACAGGAAACAGGGTCAGTGTTAGTTTGTGTGTATAATTCAAAGTGTACATACCTTGGTTTCATTTTTCATGGGAAATTTCAACACAATGTAAAGATTTACAAAGGAAATAATACAGCAAAGAAGAATTTATTCGGCTACAGAACCAAGTTCTGACTTCGGTAAAACCCAAACAGGGATTACTGAAGTAAATCTAAATAGACTAACATTTCTTTGTAAATGCTACAAGAAACTGGGCAATCATTATGAGCAATAAAAAACTTTAAAATGGCATTAGCCTTTCACAGATGATCACTTAACAGTTTATTTTGTTAATGATAAGAATATTGTCTCAGTAAAATCAAACAACTGATTCTGTAACAGTGAATGAGAAGACAGCATTCGATTTAGAAAAGTGACCGTTATCTTCAAATTTCAAGAGGAAGTTAGCTCACTGGAAATTCACCAACCTCTTTACATAGAAAACTGCATCCAGTGCTTTCCTATTTCAAACATACAGGTCCTCTGTATGGAAATCCCACTCTCTGCATCTCTTTAAATGCTACCTGCAGTGAAAGGCAGCAGGTGGACTGCAGGTACGCCCAGTGAATGCTGAGTGGTGTAAATGTGAAGGAAATCAATGGTCACACAAACCCACATGATTGAGATGACCAAAAGCAAAGCACAGAGTACAACGCTCCCATTTCTTGTTTGGCACATATATTAATAAATTTTCAACATCAAACAATTTAAGACCAAGAGATACTAAAACCAACTAGCACAGTAATAAAATGCCTAAAGGTTATGAACATCTTAAATACTTAATTCCCATACGATGTCTGTAACCAAACATCTTCCATGAGGTGTGAGCTGTTCAGAACATCACCTGTCTCAGGATTGATTTCCCAGAATCCACTCAGTATCCCACAGAAACTCACTCACTCTGGTGGATCTCCTCACGGCCTTCACTTGCGCGAACAGATGCATACCCTCTTCACAATTTTGAAAAAAATGGAAGGCCTTCATACATGTCAGTTTTTAATTTTATCCAATCATTGATCTTTTGAAGAGTTGTTTTTTCTTGACTTAATATTTTTGCAACTTTTTTCATCTTTTGTTCATTTCTTTCTATATACTTCATCCCTTCCAGCTGCAGCTGATCCAGCTTTTCATTTCGACTTTCATCTAGCGGTATGTTTTCACACATGACAGGATTGAATCTAAAATATGTGTCAGGAGGTAATAGACCATCCAGCATTATATGGACTTCTGTTAAAACAAAAATGAAGGAGAGAGAGTAGGTAAGAGAAGGTATGAGGTAAGTTATTTTGGAATGTTCTATTCATTTTTTCTTCATTTAAAATTATCTTCATAGCCGGGCGGTGGTGGTGCACGCCTTTAATCCCAGCATTTGGGAGGCAGAGGCAGGCGGATCTCTGGGAGTTTGAGGCCAGCCTGGTCTACAAGAGCTAGTTCCAGGACAGGCCCCAAAGCTGCACAGAAACCCTGCCTCGAAAAACCAAAAATAAAAAATTATCTTCATTTTAGGCACATTATTAACATGCATTCATTTTATCACCCCAACTCACATAGTTTCAAGGAATCCATAAGAAGAACAAATCTACAAATTGCAATTCACTTTCCAAATACTTTATATATTCTGCTCAATTAAGGACCTTGCTTGATTATTCTCTCTCCCTGATAAAATGTCTTGCCTTCCTTTTGCTTTTCATTTTTTGGGAACCATCCTCACTGGGCTATATATTGATGCATATTAAAATTAATCATTTTAATTGTGCAATTTGAAAAAGTTTGGCAATGTACAAACTTTTATTTTACTACCATAAGTCATGAGCATTCCCATGACTTCCAAAGGTTTCTGAGTCTCCAGTGAGCCATCCTTATCCTCCTCCTTTTAAAAGAATCATGTTGTCGTCTTGCCCTCCTTTTAATCAAATATATATATATGGTGTAGGAGGGTCTTCTTTGTATGTGTTGCTTTCATTGGTTTAAAGAGACTGCCTTGGCTATTTGATAGGACAGCAGCTTAGATAGGCGGAGTAGACAGAACAGAATGCTGGGAGGAAGAAGGCAGAGAGAGACAGAGAGCCACCCGCCATGAAGCTGCAGGGTCAGACATGCTTGAATCTTTCCCAATAAGCCACGAGCTCGTGGTGAACACAGATTATTAAAAATGGGTTGAATCAAGATGTGAGAGTTAGCCAATAAGAGGCCAGAACTAATGGGCCAGGCAGTGTTTAAATGAATAGTTTCCATGTAATTATTTTGGGTAAAGCTAGCCGGAAGCAGGGCGGCAGGAAGCGACCCACCGCTGTTTGACTGCATGCTCCCTGTCCTGCCATGGTGATAATGGACTAAATCTCTGAAACTGTAAACCAGCCCAGTTAAATGCTTTCCTCTATAAAAGTGGCCATGGCCATGGTGTCTAGAAAGCCTAACTAAGACACTCACCCTCTGTATCCGTAGCACTGTTGATGACATTCGAGAGCTTTGTCCTCAGGCTTGTGTAGGTGGCAGTATTCCTCACGTCACTCTCATACCGTCCTGTGCCCAGGGACACTATACACTCTAATGGTACATTAGGCCAGAGACATTTACACTCATGCATGGCCAGGGCTGAAGGGTTATTCAGAAGCAAACCTCCATCCTGTAAAAAGTCAAAAGAGCAGTCAACTCAGTACTTCCTACAGGGAGAAGCTAACACGAAAGTGAGTGATTTACAAGAGGGGCTTTGCAAACGGACTTATTCATGTTCTACAACTGCAAAATCCACCATCAAAGATAATAAGTTGTAATTTCCTATTTTGAACAACTTTTTTGGATTGATTTGTATAAGTTGCTCAAAAATACTAAGATAAACTGAAAAACCTAAAAACATTTTCATGTGTATTTATTGACTGATTGTGTGTTCACACATGTGGAGAGCAGAGAAAAACTTCTGCATATGGGTCCTGAAGACTGAACCCAGGTCACTGGACTTTGTAGCAAACACCTCTACCCACTGGACCATCTTGCTGACCCCTGAACTAAACAGCTTTTTAAAACACACTGGGATAGTTGGTAGTTAATAATAACAAAATAATCTCACAAGTTTAACATAATCAAACTAATTGAAATTTAAACAATAATTTGTAGGTATCATATTCACAGTACAGTTATAACCTGAACAAAGTAGGAGAACGTTTGAATGTCTAAGTCAGTGGTTCTCAACCAGGTGCTGCGACCCCTTTGGTGGTAGAACAATCCTTTCACAGGGGTCACTTAAGATCATCACTTAAGAAAACACAGATATTTACATGTTTAAATAACATGTAAATATTATTTACATATTATATGTAATATTACAACAAAATATAATATGTATATTATATTACATATAATATACAGAC